CGATATTTGAAACGTTTCCTTCTGATGTGCCTGGCAATCGATATTTGAAACGTTTCCTTCTGATGTGCCTGGCAATCGATATTTGAAACGTTTCCTTCTGATGTGCTTGGAAATAGATATTAAAAAAAAAAGGGTTTTCAGATGGGGCCTTGGGAAGCACATGATGAAAATAACTTGTTTTAACCACCTGGGTGTTAAAAAGTTGCAGGTTTTTGTTTCCAACATGCCCTTGGTTAATCTTTGAGAGCTGCAATGATTTTAATCATATCAGGAAATGAAAGGCAAGGAGGAGGTGGGAACACTCATTTCCTCCACATGCCAGAGTACTGGAGCACTCTGTCCCAGCTGGTGAGCACCAAAAATTCCAGGCTGGATTAAATATGCTGTAGAAGCAGCCAGAGACACAGAAAGAGGGTGAAGAAGGGGAGTTCATCACCAGTAAATACTCCAGGGTAATGGTCAAACTGCTGCTGTGGAGCACTGAGACACAGCCCTGAGCCAGCCCCAGCTCCAGAGCTGCCTGCTCAGCTGGAGAGAACTTCTCCAGCTTTTCCCAAGGAAATACTGCACCTGGTCAACCCCCAAAAAACAGGGGATCCACGCCAAAAGCCTCAGGGAGTGTGGAGGGCCCTGGAAAAACAAGACAACACCAAGACAGAGAGAAGGAGTGTGTGGTTCACACCTTGGAACAGGGCTTTAAAGTGCCTGCAGGGATCTGAGCAAACTGGCTGATGGTCTTCTAAGAGAGACACAAACTACTTAAATTTCCAAGATTTTTCATCCCACAGGCAAATGGCAGCAAGGAGAGAATGGGGATGGCATGGACACAGCCCTTCCACACTGGGAAAGGGAGAAAGGGACCTTTCTGTACTCCCACGGTGGGAAGCAAACTCAAAATACAGTCCCCTGCTGCAGAAATGGTTCCTGGAAACAGGGAACAAAAGGATAGGGACATATTATCATCTCCCATGAGGAGGAACTGGGCTGTATTTGAGGCCTCTGGTGTATGGGACTCGTGTGAGACTAGAAAATGGGTGTGCAGAGATACACAGGGAAATCCTGAGGTTCCAAACGTGGGGCAGGGATGACAGGCAGAGAGGAAGGAAGTACAAGAAATCCAGTACATCCCATAGATCTGACTTTGAGAGCAAGTAAACTTGCCACCACCAGCCATGTAACTGTTGTCTGGTCAACTCCAAATCCTTTACAGTTCCAAAACAATTTGTCTCAGATTCAGTGACAATTGAGAGCACAAAAAACCCCCCCAAAACCAAAAGAAACTAAAACAGATTAATTTAAGAAATTGAAGGTATTTCTGTAACTCTTCCTCCCATTCTGAATTTAATTTTCATTTTTTGAAAACCAAAATAACTTGACTCTTTTCTACTGAGAGCAAGTGTCCTTTGATCATCCCTGTGTAGCTCAAGTCCTGTTCTCCACCCAATCAAGCAAGTCAAGAAAGGTTTGAGTCGTTTCTCTGTCTCCAGTGGGCCATAACATGCATTTCCCTACAAAAGGCTCACTGTGGCAAAAAGGCTGAGGCTCAGGAGACTCTGAAATGAGTCTTTTACAGCTGGATGAGAAATGGGGTGGAAGAACTCCTCTGTGTCCCTAAAGCTTCATGCAACAACACTGAGGCAGATACTCCAATTCTCCAACACTTTCTTGTGTCTAATGAAACCAGGGGAAAAAAAGAATAATAATAATAATCAAGTTTTGGGGCTTCCTGGATGCCAGAAAGTCAAATGAGGTGTAGAAGCAGAGAGAGAACAGTGAAGCAGCAGAGGAAAAGCACAACCAGGCAGGACAGGTCAGTCCTTGCCCGTGTCCTTACTTGAGCAGCTCCAGGATGCCGATAACGATGTCATTAACATAACAAAAACCAGAAGCCTGTGAGAGAGAGAGAAACCCAAACAGGGTTAGAACGGGACCAACACAGAGCCCGGGCCCCAAAGACAGAGGAATCCACAGATTTGCCTCATTACCTCGAACTTCTTGGCATGATGGAGGCCCCCTGCCCAGTTTATGGCGATGTCACAGATCTGAGAAAGGAAAGAGAAGTGAGTTGAACGTGATAACAACGACCCTGTACCCTCTCCCTCTCTGCACCACTTCCACCTCTGGCCCCCAAACACCCTTCTGGCCTTTCCTCCCATCCAGAGCTCCATCTGTGTTCCAAAAGCTCAGCCCCTCAGCCCCTCACCTTGTTGTTCAGTTGTGTTGCTCCCTGCAGGGAGGCCCCGGTATAACGAGAGCAAAACTCAAAGAGGCCTGGAAACACTGGGCTGGAAAAGAAACCACGATTCAAACACACAACATCTCATCCCTGCCCACTTCTCCAGAGCAAAGGCAGCAATTAAACTGTCCAGGGATATCACCTGAGCAAGAGCAACACCCAGTTCTCTGTGAAAGAGTTAATTTGGGATCACTCTGACCCTGCAGGTGAGAGAGCTGGCTGCAAACACAATGGGAAACTCAGGGAACGTGATAATGATTCCCAAAGCTTCCAAGCCAGTCCTGAAAAGGCTCCCCTGCTCCCAAAATGTGCCAGAGTCTGTCCTGCAGCCCTGCTGGGATGTGCCCAGAGCTGGGACATGATGAGAGACCTGCCTCAGGAGAGGGGAGGATTGCTGTGGTCCTGCACTGGCTCCTCTCTGGCTGTGTCTGAATCATCGTGGACTCACAGACTGGTTTGGGTTGGAAGGGACCTTAAAGCTCATCTCACTCCACCCCCTGCCGTGGGCAGGGACACCTTCCACTAGCCCAGGTTGCTCCAAGCCCTGTCCAACCTGGCCTTGGACACTTCCAGGGATCCAGGGGCAGCCACAGCTTCTCTGGACAACCTGTGCCAGGGCCTCCCCACCCTCAGAGCCAAGAATTTCTTCCCAATATCCCATCTAGCCCTGCCCTCTGGCAGTGGGAAGCCATTCCCCCTGTCCTGTCACTCCAGGCCCTTGGAAATGGTCTCTCTCCATCTTTCTTAAAGCTTCTTTGGGCACTGGAAGGCCACAATTAGGTCACCCTAAAGCTTCTCCTCTCCAGGCTGAACAATCCCAATTCTCCAGCCTTTCCTCCCAGCAGAGCTGCTCCATCCCTCTGATCATCTTGGTGCCTCCTCTGGACTCTCTCCAGCAGCTCCATGTCCTTCTTGTGCTGGGATCCCAGAGTTGGAGGCAGCACTCAAATTATTAACAAAGATAATTGAACTGGAGGCTCTTCCAGAACAAGTAGAGCCAGAATCTGTAACCCAACAAGCCAAAATCAGGATTTAAAAAGCAGGACTGAGCCATCTAAAGGACAGGAATCGAGGACGTTCCATGATCTGACACACCCAGGAAGGACAGGCTCCTCATTCTGGTTAAAAACAAGCAAGAAAAGGGACATTCTAAAAGAGCTTTTGGGACATGAGCAGAGCAGGGAGCCCCTTTGTGCCTGCAGGAGGCTCAGGGCACTCACCAGTCGTCGCCCACGTTGAAGGCGTTGAGGCTCTTGGTGAAGCCCTGCATGTTGTTGGGACTCACTCTCTGCAGGAAGTCGATGTAATCCTCGGAGTGGAAGCGGCACATGTCGTGCTGGGACGCCTGGTATGGCTTGAAAACCTGCCAGAGACAAAGACAACACTTATTTCCCAGCTAAAGTCGTGTTTGTTTGGGCTGGAAGAAACCTCCAGCCCAGTGAGTGACCTGCACGAGGTACATTAAAAACATTCCAACATTGGCTTCCTGGTATTTGTGTTCTTTTAAATTCATCAGTTGTTCCATGAAACTTTTTCCTGCCCTCTTTCAGCCACAAACCCATCTCCAGCCTCTCCTGACTGCAGCTGTTGCTACGAACTCTCCAATGCCCCCCCTCCTTGGGAAGGAGCAAAACAAATGGGCCAAGTCCAAACCACAGCTTTTCCTTCACTGGGGGGATTATTCCCTCCTCAGTCACCAGCTTTCCACTATTTTAAGACCTTGATCTAGGGGGTGGTTTCAGTCCCTCTGACAGATCTGCCTGGAATGGGCTGACAGGTCCAAAATTGTTTGGTGAAAGCTCCCGAACAGATGGAAGAATTGTGTAAGTCCTGTTTCCTTTGGAAAGGAAAATGGTGAAAAATGGTCACGGAGCTGGATGGGCTCAAATTCAGGATCTTGTGACAACTCAGCCTCGCCAGTTTGGCACTGAGGGCACATACCTCAGTAGAGGGGAGGTTAAAAATTAACACCATGAACTTGGGAGAGCAAATTAAATCGATAAGAGATCTTTTTGGTGTCTCCCAAATTCTCTTATTTAAAGCAACCACTTTACAGGAAAAATGGGACGTGGAAATAAAAGCAAGATGCACAAGCTGGTCTCCAAAGGGAAATTCATCACTGCACCAATGATCCTGTTTCCTGTTCATTTTTGGAGCCACAATACACCCAGACAAGCCCATCCCCTCCTCTCCTGGTGTTTTCCACAAGGATGTGGAGTTTGGTGTTTCCATTCCCCAGGAGGGCTCCAGGAATCCAGAAAGTCCATGAAATCAAACAAGACCAAACCCAAAGCTAAAGAGTCGCCACAGAGAAGAAATGGCTCTCACTGGATATCCAGAGGCTCTCTTGGACAACAAAAAGTAGGGAGAGGTGATTCAAACAGAAAGGCAGGGAAAAAAAATAGACCAAAATCTACCAAAAAATAGACCAAAACCTGCCTCCTTCCACCTTTCACCCAGACCCAGCAATCCCACCCACCTTCCCAAGCTGGGAAAGGTGGGAAGAGGCAAACCCAGCCTGACAGGATAGCAGCCTTTTATTTGGGGGAGGCAGAGAGAGCAGATGGTGCATCCACAACACAAAGTTAACAGGGCTTTTTATAGTCCCAGCTGACCACAATTCCTGCTTTTATGTGTTCCCAACTTTGCCAGTCACTGACTGTTCAGGATGAAGCTGCCTCTGAGGTTTTCAGGTGGAAAATGGAAATCCCAGAAAAAGGGTTTCAAGACTAAAAATGTGGCAAAATGTAGAGCTCTGCCCACTGCCTCCCTCAGACATGGACTTGACCTTTAAAAGTGTTATGTCTGAACATGGATTTGTTTTTTTTTTTTGCTGTTCCTGCAAGGAAAAGCCCAACTCCAGGGAAGCTATTTGGGGAAGTTCACACACTGATAGGAAAAATCTGAAAGGGAAAATCTGCAAAGGCTCCCCAAGTGCTGCAACTCCACCCAGGGCAGTGGTCACCACACTGGATGTGATTTCACCAGGGAATTATATTAATTAGGAAAGGTTTTCTCATGTTTAAACATCCCCAATTCATTTCATACATTGCATCCCTACAGCTCCCTGACAGGAGGGTGAAACCAGGGGGGGGTAGTGACAGGCCTCAAGTTGCACCAGGGGAGGTTTAGGTTGGATATTGGGAAAATTTCTTCACTGAAAGGGTGCTCAGGCCCTGGCACAGCTGCCCAGGGAGGTGGTAGAGTCATCCTGGAGGGATTTAAAAGCCACGTGGATGTGGCACTTGGGGACACGGGTTAGTGGTGGCCTTGGCAGTGTTGGGACAATGGCTGGACTTGATCTTAGAGGGCTTTTCCAATCTTACTGATCCTATGATCAAGGAACTGGTCCATTTTAGCACCTTCCTTTAAAACTTGACACTGGGCTTTAGCTTTGGGACAGCTGATTTTCTGTCTCCTTTCACTGAGCCCACAACTGTCAGCACAGAGCAGGTCCAGCAGTGGAAGAGCTTGAACTTGAGCCCATTCCAAACTCCAGGCACTTGTACAGAGCTGGAGACAACAACCAAGTTCTGCAGCTGCAGGTTCAGAGCAGCTCAGACCCAGCTTTTCCCTCTGCCCCTCTTGTATTGGTTTGGCTGATCAGACTTTGGCCTAAAAAATAAAAAGCAGGAAGATTATACTGCACACACACACACAGGATTTGGGCACCTTGTCCTGCCCAAACACTGTCCACATGGAGTCATGGAATCACAGAATGCTCAGGGTTGGAAAAGTTTAGGATCATCTCATTCCACCCCCTGCCATGGGCAGGGACACCTTCCACCATCCCAGGTTGCTCCAGGCCCTGTCCAACCTGGCCTTGGACACTTCCAGGGATGGGACACAAAGGGGAAGGAGGGGGAATGTCCTACATCCCTGACAGATCAGAGCACTGATGGTTTGAGCCCTTCCTCTTCCTCCCCTCCCTGTGTGCCAGCTCTGCACAGTGATGGCTCTGACAGGGGCTCCTCAGCTCCTTGACAGGGCAATTCCCATGGAAACACACTGTACATGTGCATCCCATACAGGGACAGCCAGACAATGAAAATCCAGAGGTGCCTGGAGCTGTAGCCTCCTACATTTACACCACCATTCCAGGCACAGGTCCTTCCCCAGGGCAAAGGAATCACAGGCTGTGGATCAGATAAGCTGATCTGGGACCGTGCCAGGCAGGAATTAAATCAGTTCAAAGCTCTGATCCCAGCCCACTGAAAACAGGAATCAGGAACAGAAGATAAAACAAGTTGCCCTAACCCATCAGCAGCTGCTGGTGGCACCTTCTGCACCTCAGAATGGGAAAAACCCACCTCAGAATGGGAAAAACCCACCTCAGAATGGGCAGAATGGTAGAAGATTTTTACTATTCTCTGCCCAGAGAAGCTGTGGCTGCTCCATCCCTGGAAGTGTCCAAGGCCAGCTTGGACAGGGCTTGGAGCAACCTGGGCTAGTGGAAGGTGTCCCTGCCCATGGCAGGGGGTGGGACTGGATGGGCTTTAAGGTCCCTTCCAACCCAAACCATTCCATGAGTCTATGATGATCCCATTCCTGCCCTGATTGTGCATCCTGAGTCATTAATCACCTCCCCCACCTTTCCTGAGAGCTTTTCATTTGCTCTGTGCTGTGAGAACGGGCAGAAAAGTGCACAAGGATTCCTGGGAAAGGAGCATGGCTCATCCCACTGCCAGCAAGAGAAGAAAACACTTCAAAATAAAACACTGCACCTCCACAGTGATATTCCCTTATCCCAAAACCAGCTCATTTCCCAAAAGATGGAGGATTAAGTTTTCCTTTTGATTGTCTCTCCATGCTGATCATGTTTTAGCAGGAGTAACACGTCAGGTTTATGGAAGGGAAAATCTTTCCAAGAGCCAGGAGTGCCCTGGGCTGGGAGAGCTGGGTGGGCTCTGAAGGGCAGGTGAGACAAACACTGCCCAGGAATGAGAGGGAGGAGGGAACCCCCATGGGGCAACAAAGGGAATTAGGAAGCTTCTGGAGGATTTGTTTGCAGCTTTACTATTCCATGATCACAGCGGTCATGGAATGGTTTGGGCTGGAAAAAGGAACTTAAGGATCATCTCGTTCCAACACCTTCCACTAGCCCAGGTTGCTCCAAGCCCCGTCCAACCTGGCCTTGGACACTTCCAGGGATGGGGCAGCCACAGCTTCTCTGGGCAACCTGTGCCAGGGCCTCCCCACCCTCACAGGGAAGAATTCCTTCTCATTATCCCATCTAACCCTGCCCTCTGGCAGTGGGAAGCCATTCCCCCCGTCCTGTCCCTCCAGATCCTTGTCCAAAATCCATCTCCAGCTCTCCTGGAGCCCCTTTAGGCACTGGAAGGGACTCTCAGGTCTCCTTGGAGCCTTCTCTTCTCCAGGTGAACAATCCCAATCCCAGAGGTCCCTCCCAGCAGGTGCTGCAGACACAGGAATGCCACACTCAGAGCCAGGGCACTGTCCCAGCCCCAGGGATGGCACTGTCACCCAGGTGTGACCAGGGCACTGGTCACCAACAGTGGGACCCTCCAACCCAGCCCTGGATGCTCCAGGGGGGGCTCAGGACAATGGGAATGCCTGAGGCTGCTCCAAGCCTGGTCCTGTTGGAGCAGGAGTGGGGCTGGAGATGGGGCAGGGACACAGCAGAGCTGTGACCAGCCCCTGACAGGGGGGTGTTCATGTGGGGCCCACAAGTGCAGTGAGCAGCTCAGTGCTCAGCTCTGCACCTCTCACATGTGGTGGAGCCCCAAACAACTACGACAGACCACAGCCCCAAAACCTCCTGTCCCAAACCCTCAAGCCCCTTGTCCCAAATGCTTTGTCCCAAACACCGTCCCAAACACTCAAACCTCCTGTCCCAACACTCCTTCCCCAAGCCCCCTGTCCCAAAAACCTTGTCCCAACACCCCTGTCCCAAAAACTCATAACTATCTGCCCTAAAACCCCCTGTCCCAACACTCCTGCCCTGACCTGCCCTGTCCCAAACCCTGAAGCCCTGTCTTAAACCCCTGTCCCAAACACCTTGTCCCAATCCCCCATGCACACACCCCTGTCCCAAACCCCTCATTCCAACACCCAGTCCCCAACCCCCTGCCCCAAATTCTCTGGCCCCAACACTCCTGTCCCAAATTCCCATCCCAACACCCTGTGCAAGCACCTGTCTCAACACACCTTGCCCCAAACCTCATCCCAAGCACCCAAGCCCCCTGCCCTAAACACCTACCCCAAACTCCCTGTCTCAAATGCCTTATCCCAACACTCTGTGCAGAGATTCCTGTCCAAAAACCCCTTGCCTCAAACCCCCTCCCAAGCACCCAAATACCCCGTCCCAACCCTCCTGCCTCAAACACCCTGACCGAACACTCCTGTCCCAAAACCCCTGCCCCAAACCCCCACCTCAACACCCACTCCCCAACCCCCTGCCCCAAATCCTCTGGCCTCAAGTCCCCTGCCCCAAACACCTTGTCCCAACACCCCGTGCAGACACCCCTGTCCCAAAACCCCTGTCCCAAACCTTCAAGCCCCCTGTCCCAAAGGCCTTGCCCCAAAGCCCTTATCCCAAACCCTCATCCCAACACCCCGTGCAAGCACCCCTGTCCCAGACCCCCTTAATTCCCTGCCCCAACCCCCCGGCTTACGATCATCTTCTTGTAGAGCCCGTAGTGCAGCACCAGGCTGTGGGTGAGCGCCAGGCGATGCGGCTTCATGGGGTGCCCCGCGCCTGCAACGGAACCGCGCGGGGATCAACGGGGGGCGAGACCAAACGGCCGCACCCGCCGGGCAGGGCCGGGACCCGCGGGCACCGCGGGACGGGACAGGTCGGGAACGGGGACAGAGGGACGGGGAGAGGGGGAGTGGGGAATGTGGGGGGGGAAGGGGGGGGGGGGAAGGCGGCGGGGGGGTCTAGAGGGGGACACCGCTGGGCTGGG